CTTTAATGTCCTCAGTGGACACGCCACTGTTCCCTAGCGCGAAGCCGTTTTGGTACAGGGCGTTAAGTATGCTCTTCGGCGGCTCGGGGACCGCTGGGTCACGCTGGATGGTGTTGCGTGAGTTGCTTGTCGGTGGCTTGAGGGCAGTGTAAGGCGTACCAGGGCCTGAAGGCGCCTGGGGCCTGTCAGGTGATGCATAGCGTGCCCGCCGTCGTGGTGGTTGGGTGTCCGCGTCGGGGGAGGAACCACGAGCGTCAGCATGTCGGAAGATGGACCACGGGCTGCCATGGGTGCGTTCTCTCGTTTCCCTTGGCTCGGTGTCGCTACCGTGTGCTGTGGCATCCTCGTTGGTAGATAGGTTACCGAATGTCGTGCACGTGTATTGATTGATTAGGGCATCCGATCCCCCGCCCCTTGGGCCGGTGGTATCTCGTGGCGTCTGTGTGTGAGCTGGTCGATCTGGTGTGACAGACGAGGCTACAGTGCGAATACGGCGGCTCGTCTGTAGACGTCAGATCGCATGGCGGCCGGTGGTTGGCTGTGGTGGGCGACGTCGGCGAACTGCGGCGGCAAACAGCTGCGGGCGTAGTTGTTTCCCCTGTACAAAGCGGATGTAGAGTGCGTGAACCCTGCTGGTCGTCGTGGTTCGTCTAGGCGAGCTGCAGCGGTCTTAATTTTGGTAGAGGTGTGTTGGCCGAGGTTTTTTGTACGGAGTTCCGAATTCGGCTCCTTCTCTGGCTCGGTTGGCAGCAGCGGAGGCACCAGTGGGCAGTGGATGAGTCCAGGGCCCGCGCACATATGCGTGCGCCTACGTGTCCGACAGCTCCCTGGGCAAGGAGTTTGGCACCGACGAGTAGAAGACCACGCGCAACTCCACCCGTGGCTATGGCCCCTAGCTTGCCCCGCTGGCCCAATATTTAAGGACGCCGCTCCCGACCAGCCGCTGCTCCGACTGCAGTGGTCTCCGCCGAGACACCATGCCTCCTGAGTTTGGTCGTCTGGTTCCATTTGAAGGGGTGGCCCTCAATGGTGGACAGATGACATAGTATGTCGTTTTTGGCGTCGGAATAATTTTATTATAAATTAATGTTAATAATTTTTTTTTTATATAGTGGACACAGTAACGATGGGTGCCGGTGACTGTCGCACCTTGGCGTTCGTCGGTCGTTGTTTGTATATGCGGTAGCTGGGGTCTCGGCTCGGGGTCGGCAAGTATCCATCGATCTGGTCCTTGTACGGCATTGCTATCGCGATGGCGTACTTGGCCACCAGGAGGCAGATGAGGCAGCCACAATGTCGTGATGCCGCTGAGCTGTGCTGGGGCTCGTGGGGGCCGCTGGCATCTGGGTGTTCATCATCGATGGGGTCGTTGTCGATGTCGGCCTGCCAGTGGTCGATGGCACTGGGGTTGGGGTCAGTCACGTTGTCACCTCCTGCGGTCTGGGGATGTCCAGGTCTAGCCAGTGGTGCAGCGGGGCTGAAGCCGCCACTGCACGGCCTGGCATGAGCTGGCGAAGCAGTGGGATGGCTAGTCACATCAGCGGCAGTGACGCCTTCAGTGTCGTTAGGCCGCGCAGAAGGGTCGGCCTGTTCTGAGGTGTGGGGCGCACTGCGTTGCCACGGGGCGAGCCCAGAGTGAGGCTCACTGTCGCGGTCACGCTGAGCCGAGTCGCCTGATGGTATCGTGCCGTCTCGATCCTGGATATCGATGTCGTCCTGGCTATCCTCCGACGCGTGGAACGAGTCCATGGATGTATTGCCGATATCGCTGGCCGCGATGTGCTGGAGCAGCCATGATACGGGATCTTCTGCGGCCCGATCGGTGCCGTCCGTCGGCGCCGCAGCGAGCTCCGCCTCGACGAGCGGCAGCATGTCTGGCGGTTGGTGCAGGATAACATCAGCGAGGTACGCCATGGCGTCATGGTCGGGTGGAGGGAGACCTCTTGGCAGCAGAGCATGGGCCCGTGAGAGGCATGGCGGCAAAGGTGCCATGAAAGCCTCAGGGCCAACGAGCGTGGCACGAGCGCCCTGGTACTCCAGAAGGAGGCCGAAATAGCGGGTGGCGTACTCGAGGCTGCTCTGGATCCGAGTGAGGTTGCGGTTGATGCGCTGCCTGTCGGGGCCCGCTCTGTGCCAGATGTCCTCGCACATGTCGACCGCGGTGCGATGACGCAGGGCGTCGGTGGTGTCCTCGGACGCCTCAAGGAAGAGGTGATCGTACTGTGGCAGATGGAGCGTCGCCAGGATGTACGGGACGCAGTCCTCGAGCCATGCGCAAAACATGTCCTGGTTATCCTCACCTGGTGCCCACGCCGCAGCACACGGTATGAGCCTGGCGCGGATCATCATCAGGTGCCAGAAAGCAGGGTCTTCCTCGGGTTCGCCCCTATCTCGCATGGGAGTGGTGGGACCAGTAGGGCAATAGCGGGGCACAACAGCGGGGCTGAAGCCGCCACTGTGTGCCTGGCCAATACTGCACGGACTCGCGGCAGCGGTGCCGTAGACGATCGGGTCCAAGATGGTGCAGTGATCGTGCTTGTAGCTGCTGTCATCGTAGAGGTAGAAAAGGGGCGCACGTTCGACGTGCTGCAGAAGAAACCCACCTCCATGCTGGGGCGCACCGCCTGAAGACGGGTGTGCTCCAGCGAGCGAGGGGAGGGCCAGGCTGAAAGCAAAGCGCCACATGATGGCGAGGCCTGGCAGGCGGCGCGAGCGATGAGCCAAAAGCTGCATGTCGGCACGCATCTTTAGGTACCCCTGCATGTTCATGTACATTGCAACAAACACACCCACAGCAAGATGACAGGTGTCCCTACACCAGGTAGCTTGCTCGTGCTGCTGCAAAAGATGACATGATATAGCAAGGAGGATGTACGACGAGAAGTGAGAAGGGATGCCTCTGAAGGCGCTTCCTCGGAGGGCTGAGGCGGGCCCTCTGAGGCACCTTCAATAGGGTTCCTGTGTGGCCCGCCCTTTGTCTTTGCCTTTGTCAGCCCCTTGGGGCCCCGTCCCTGGGGTGACCTGGCCTGGCTGGTCGATCCACCCGCAGACAGCCACGGGATCGGCAACTGGTGCAGCTTCCTCCTTTTTGGTATCGAGGGTGGCCACCTGGGCAGGTGGATGGTACCCCCCGTGAGGTGCCCGAGGAGGGCCTGGATGTCGCCGC